CTGTGGGTGAGCAACCTGCCATATCCTACAGTGCCATCCCTAGGTGCAGCTCTCCCTGCACCTCACCTAAACCCCATTTAGTTGCACAATGTTTGACACTCGGGGCGGGTTCCTATTATTTGTTTTCCCAGCTGTGTTCCTGAATCAGCTCCTGCAGCTCGCAGGGCCGTCTGTGCCTGGTGCAGTGTCAGAGCCCGTGGGGCGCCGAGGTGGGTCAGAAGGGGCAGTCGGCCAGCTTCTCTGCTCTCTCATACCTGACTTTTCTCCTGGCTGAACAATCCCCAGGGCTGACATCGCCCCTGGACACTGAGAGCCTTTGCTGTGCTGGTGGCAGCGCCAGCCTCCTGCCAGCGGTCACGGCGCAAGGCTGGTCTCTCCCCACCCTGCCGCAGCAGGTGCCAGGGAGGGACATGAGGGTGTCGTGGTTTATCGCCAGACCGCAGCTAGCCACTGCACAGCTGACCGCTCACTCCTCCTCCCCTCAACCCCCACCCCCAGCAGGATGGGGAGGGGAATTGGAGAAAAAGGTAAAACTCATGGGTTAGGGTAAGGACAGTTTACTAGGACAGCAAAGGAAGAGGAAAATAACAATACTTACAGCAGAATATACAAAGCAGGTGATATACAATGCAAGTTGCTCACTGCTCTGAGCCGATGCCCAGCCCGTTCCTGAGCAGCAGCCCCTGCTCCCTGGCCAGCCCCCCCAAGCAGGGAGGGGGTCAGGACTCACTCCACAGGGGCAGGGGAGCCGCATCCAGCTGAACTCCCTCCATGCTGGATTTCCTGTTGTTTGGATCAGCAGTGAAAAACAAGAGATCAAAACAGAGCCAGCCCAGTCTGGGAGTCCCTTCATCTTGCTATTTATTCCAGTGTAATCTTATTAAAGCAACAGGAAATACGCTTTCCCACAGCGACCGTACATCTTTGAAAAGAAACGGCACAAATAAAAGCTCCACGGCCCAGATGGAGTGGACAAGGGCAGCAGAGGCCAGGCTCCGTGGCCTGAGGCACTGTGTGGGATGTGCCCCAGATACCTGTGTACCTGTCCCCTGGCTGAGATGACACTCTAAGATGCTGAGTGGCAGCTCTCATGGGGCGCTGGGCATCTGGAGGTTCATCTGAGATCTCCCGGGACAGGAACTGCCACCCTGCCCTGCATCTCTCTCGACACTCTGGAGAGTATCCCGGGGTCTGGTCCCTCCGCACAGGATTTCAGGAGCCCACCCATCGCCCTGGGGAGGAGGGGGTCCATGCTGCCTTACGTGATGGGGCTGGAAGGGACAGTACAAATGCAACTGCTGATCTTTGCTTTCCAGCACAGGCTGGACCTCCGCCGAACATGTGAAGTGCTGTGGAAAAGAGCACTGGCAAGGCAGGGTGGGCGCAGAAAGAAAGGAAAGGGCTGGAGGAGGATTTCAAATACTTTATTTAAAAAAAAAAAATCCCAGTTAAAACCACAATGGCCGTGCCTTTCTGTGGGTAAGAGGCACGACCCGGGCCCTGGCTGGCCCTTGGCACCACTCCCCGAGTGGGCAGCTCAGAGGCCATGCTCCTGCCAGGAAGGCGATGCGGCACTGGGCTCCAGCTGGGGAGAGTTCACAGCTCCGAGCGGTACCTCTCTTAAAAAACGTTCAAAACCAGTTGTGAGAATAAACTCTGTGGTGTTAAAAAAGGAAAGAGAAAGGAGAAAGGGAGGGTCTGCCAGCACTGGAACGCTGTGGCTGGAGGGCCCACACTCTTGCCTGAGAAGAGCCACAGTGCTCATGGCGCGCAGCAGCTTTTCTTCTTTGAAAGAGAAAAAAATCAACCAACCAACAGTAATTTCTTCCAAATTTTCCCCGCAGCCACAAATTTCACCGGCTGGCCCCATTAACAACGGCTGCTCACATAAACACACCGTCTTCCACGCGGGAAATGCTCTTGCAGAAACCTGAGTCTTCCTTCTCCGCTAAACAACATGCTTCAGATTCCCTGCAAATAAAAGGAGGCAGAAAAGGATATTCCCACTGGTATTTCAGCCTGATGGAGTGGCCTAGCCAGGGGCAGGGGTGCCAGCCCTACACCTGACAGACTGGGCAGCGACACAGGAATCTCTGCCCCAGCGCAGACCCCGGTCCCTGCTGACCCCTCGCTCCCTTTGCAGAGGCTGTTGCCCTCCGCCGAGCCGGACCTGGGGAACTACCAAAGGGAGACCCTGCCAGTACGAGCTTCTCCTGCAGGCTGATTGCTGATTTGGGGTTCTGCTGCTGTCAGTCCGTGACCGTTTCACTGCCGAGGGAGACAGACCCTCTTTGCCTCGCTCGCTCCTGCTGCCTCCAGCACTGCCACTGCAAACGCAATGGAAAACTCCCTGCAGGGAAAACCAGTCCTGGAAAGCACTAGGCTCTTGGATCAGCCTCTCCATTGTGGCTGGGGAGGGAGGAATGGGGTTTCTCCGCTCTCTCCTGTGCCACAGGCATGAGTTTTCCTCTCAGTGGGTGGCACAACAGAGGGAATCCTGCCATCCAGCACCTGAGCTTCCTGCTCTGTTTCAGCCACACGTGATGCTGGCTGGAAAGCCTTTGGGTGCTCACCCACAGGTCTGGATACGCACGGGAGGCATCCTGGCCACTCCAGGAGAAAATGCAACGTGGCCTGGGACTAGTCAAGCACTGAGCACGGGGCTGCCCAAGCTTGGGGTCTCAGACCGCCTCCCGATCAGCTGAGCAGCTTGTCTGGGGCACGGACTGTGCTCATGCCAGCTGGTCTCCAAGCTCACATTGGGCTCCTTTGAGAGGTACTATCCCGGAAGACAAAGAAAGATGTCTGGGATCCTCCTCTACAAATCCATGGCTACTGAATCCATTTTTTTTTCCACAAGCACAGAAGCCTTCCTAAGCACAAAACACACGTTCCCATCAGATCCAGCGCTTGCACTGGCCGTGGCATTGCAGCTCCTACAGGAAGGCGCTCAGTTCCCAGGGGCAATGGCTGTGATCTGAGCTGGAAGTGCCACTCGAGGGTGCCGAGACGCTGTCCAGGGAGCGCACAGCCTGCAGTGCCTTAGTCCCTCTCCTCTCCCTGCTCCCATTGCTCGGGGGCTCTGGTCCTTCTCTTATGTCTGATGTTGAAGAAGGGACGCTGAGGAGGGTGTGAATTTCTAAGCCTTCCTGGTCCTGAGACAGTCTGATACACAAATTGGAAATTCAGAAAAAAATTCTCTGCCAAACCACAGATTAGTTTGTCCATGGGAATAGAAGGGGTAATTAAATTTAAATTGTGGCCTTCCACCCATCCCCTACACTCACCCCAGTGCTAATTAGAGACCCTGGCCTTAGCAACTGAATGGTTGTTTCATACATTAAGTCACCAAAAGAGTTTATAAATAGGACCTGGTTGTTCAGTCACTAGTGGGATTATGCTAATTTCAAGTCACAGCAAAGGCTGTTTCCAACCTAAAAGGTGATTTCATCAGCATTCTGGTTTACCAACTACTTAATAAGTCCTCATGACTTCAAGTGTTATTTTATTCTAATTTCAGGCTAAGCGTATTCCCCCAGAACAGCAGGTCCCACTGGTCCCTTCTTAACAAGGTAACAGAAGCATAACCCAAGCCACTACCAGGCATGTTGTGGCCATCCATCCATCCATCCATCCATTTGTCAGGAAGATTTCAATAAAAACTGACTTTAATTTAGGCTGTCTGTGAGATAAGGTTTAAAAAGTCTGGGCATATGGCTCCTATTAAACTGGTCCATTCACAAGGATTCATCTTGTGCAGTGTCATACTTGTCCTACAGGCCAGAAGAAGCTGACCAGAACAGTCCATCTCGCCCAAGACGCACTCGCTGCCTGCTGCTTTCCCACGAGTCTTCCAGATGTGGCCAGGGAGACGGTGGGGGCCTCCCAGCTTGTGCTTGCTCTCACCTGACATCCTTCCTGTAAGAGCCTGCCTTCCTCAGCAGGCTTCACAAGCTGGTGCTGACAGAAGGGATGGACAGGAGCGCCACGGCAGCCTGAAGCCCCCTTCCTTCACCTGCACTGTCTCCAAGGAGATGCAGTTCCAAAGCACTGACCACGAGCCATGAACTGAGGTCCCAGAGCACCAAGCCATTCCTCATTTTGAGTGCTGCATGGTGGAACAGGACTGAGGAGACGATCATGTGCTTCTCAAGCTTCTGTAATGAACCAGACCCTCGGCACTCCTTGTGCCCCGTGCAATGGATTTCCAGAACAGTGGCTGTCCACAGCTGCTCTGCTGAGTTGGCAGCAATATCCTCTTGACTTTGCAGAAGCCCCTTTCTCACAAAATGCTTTCAGTCCTACCAAGACAGTGGATGCTGCAATCTCTTCTCAATGCCCAGTGCAGATGTGTGCCCACTGCTTTGTACCAACGGGTGTTCGCCAGGCATTGCTGTCACGGCAAGCTGTGATCTCTCTGTGAGATGCTGAAAATCGGTCCCTCTGTAAAGATTCAGCTGACTTTAACAGAATTTTTAATCCTCTGCTCTTTGCTTCCTTTTTCCCAATCAGTGGATGTGAAAGTCTCGGTGGCACACGGACTTGATACATTTCTAACTTGGCCTAAGGAGTCTCAGTTCTTGGTGCGGTGCTGTTATAAGCTAGGTTCTCTGGCACTTAAAAGAATAATGGGATAGAAACTCCTATTTTTCTCATAAAAGGAGCTGAGAACTCTTTCTCATTTCAACTTTGGGAACTGCAGCAAGCTCTGAGGGTTTATAAAACTGCTGCTGGGCCCAGTTAATCCCAGATGAAGATGTTCTGCTTGTAGAGATGGAGCAGACTAAGGCCCTTCAGCTTGGAAAAGAGATGGTGGCAGAAGTGCAACACGGGTCTGTGAAATCACAGGCTGGTATTGGGAAGGTGAATAGGAACTAGTTAGTGAATAGGAACTAGTTACTTGCTGCTTCTCATTTATAGGAACAAGATGGCACTCAGTGAAATTACCCAACACCAAGTTTTACACAAAAGAAAGCACTTTTCCACACACCAACCATGACACTCACTGCTGTGGACACCCAAAGTCTAAACAAGTCTGGAAAAGGAAGAGAGGAATTAACAGAGGACAGGTTCGTTGGTCGATCTCTAATGTGCATCCAGCAACAATGCCTGGCTTGGGAAGCCCCGAAACCACCAAATCCAAGAAGCTGGGTAAAGATACCAGGAAAAGGATATATAAAACTAACTGCCATGCTTCTCTTAGGAATGCAGATTTACAGATACACTTACAGATTTACAGATATACTTACTGAGCCTACTTTTCCATAGCGAGCTACATACCCTTGTGGCTTTAGTAACTACCCTTGTGTTCAGTGACATTTTTATTAAACATCAAGAAGTTAACACAAGAAGAACGGGTTCTTCAGATACATGAGCGTAAGCAGAAGCCCAGGGAGGACAGAGGCCCATTGCTAACGAGGGCAGGGAAACAAATTACTAATAATGCTGACAAGACAGAGGTTCTCAACACCTTCTCTACCTCTGTCTTTACCAGCTTAGCTGGACCCCAGATCACAGGAACAGGTACCTACGACAATGCATGTGTCCACCCACCAGCAGGGGTGGGTGGTCTGTGACCTCTTGCAAAGGTTCAACCCACATAAATCTACATTAAGAGAAGTGTCTGATGTTGTGGCAAGGCTACTGTCTATAATATTTGAAAAGTTGTGGTGATCAGAGGATATCCCTGATTACTGGAAGAGGGCAACTGTCACACTCATCTACAAGGAAGGCCTAAAAGACGACCCAGGAAACTACAGGCCTGTTAGTCTTACTTCAATCCCTGGGAAAGTCATGGAACGAGTCCTCCTAGAAACTGTTACAAACCAAATGAAGCACCTGACTAGGAAAAGCCAACATAGATTTACCAAGACATCTACTCAGTGTTTGTCAGCCGCACCTGGCGTACCGTGTCCAGCTCTGGTCCCCACAAATCAAAAAAGACTGGAGAGGGTCCCAAGGAGGGTCACGAAGATGATCGAAAGGCTGGAGAACCTGTGCTATGAGGAAAGGCTGATGGAGTTGGGTCTCTTCTCCCTGGAGAAGAGAAGGCTTGGGGGACCTCATCACAGTATTCTGGTACTTGAACGGCAGCTACAGAGAGGACACAGGCTCTCTCTTCACAAGGAGCCACATGGAGAGGACAAGGGGCAATGGGTATGAGTTGTACCAAGAGAGATTTCACCTCATTTTGAGTAAGAAAGTTTTTTACAGTGAGAACAATCAATCACACTACCACCAAGGACATGGTAGAGTCCCCATTGCTGGAGGTTTTCAAAATATGACTGGACAGGATGCTAGATAATCTCATCTAGGCTTTCTTTCCCACAAAAGGTTGCACCAGATCATCCCTGAAGTCCCTTACAATCTGGGCTGTTCTATGATTCTAATAAGGACGAGGTCCCGGGCTCCTCTGTCCAGCCAGAGGAAAGGTGATGGCAACTTTTGCTAACAGGGACACACAGCTCTGAGCTGATGTGCCGCTAACACTGAGAATCCCAAATGAAGCAGAAGACAGACAATGTTGTACACGATGAGCGGTCAAGTGAACGTGGTTCATCTTTCTAGTCAGTGAGAAAGACTCCAACGAGCTTTCCTGAAATCCTCTCTAAAAAGACCTGTAAGCCTAAAGCAGGAGTGTTGGCTTGGACAACTCACCTTTGATAGAGTTAAGAATTTCTTGAATTCTCTGTGGCTCATTGCGGTCTGGTCTGCAGCTCGGTGTGATCTCCAGCACGTAATCAGGACCATACTCTGTGAAGAACTGCAGGGAAGAGGAGAGGAGAGTCAGCAGAGAGGTCTCCGGCTAGCTGAGCCTGGAGGGAGGACTCCCCATGGTACTTGTTTGTAAAAAGGCAAAACCACAATTCTCTGTAGTCGCTGTAGGCTTGAACTGCTTTGCACGTGCAGGTTTGTTTCTGTAGGGTCAGTAACACTGATCTGTGGTTTGAGACATATTATGAACCTATAGTTATTCCACCCAAATTCAGTCTAGATTACGTCCCTCCAACCAGCTGTCCAGCCCCGCTCAAGACTTTAAAAGTGCCAGCACTGGAATTGAAATAGCTCATAGGTGATCACGAACAGCACCTGGCCCCATGGCCCGCTGCAAGACTGCTGGTCAGAAAAGCTTCAGAGTTGCACCTGGTACTTTCTGTAAGTCGATGAAAGCAGGGCTAAAATGTAAAGCCTTGAGAAAGGCCTGGCTCTTTCCTGGCAAAAGAACGTGCACATCCTAAAGAGTTCTTTGAGCAAACAGGTGACTCCCCCTTCCCATCCTCTCTGTAATTATCTGAGACTGGAGGTTATTGGCGCCTCGAGATCCCTTGCAAAAAGATGCGGAGAGCCTTGGGTTTTGGGAACAAGCACCCACTATGCTTCTAGGACAGTGCGTTATTGTTACAGGAGTGTTTCAACAAAACAGTATTGAGCGGCAAGGATGCCGTTTGGATTAGGTAGAACGACTCAGCTCTCACGCAAGGAGAAGGGAGGGTTTGTCAAAGCTTTACCTCGTGATCAGGGATCTCAGAGGACAGCGTTCTTCCAAGGATGACCCCAGTCAAGTATGTCCAGCAGCGAGCTGTGTTGGCAAGGTTGTAGCCTCCTGTCTCCAGCAAGAATTGTGATTTTGGAGAGGGAAGAGTGGGGAAAGGGAAGAAAGAGGGAGAGATTTTAGTGCAAGGAACAAGTCGCAGAGACAGCATGCGCAGTTTACACGAATTCAGCTTATTTAATCCACTCAAGTTGTGCCCAAAAATGGCATTTTGCACCTGCTGGCTACACAAGGCCAGGTCCGAATGACACTGTATGCAAGGGCAGACCTCCCAAACTGAACCCCAGTTACACTCAGTGCGGCACAGGCCAGGCTTCTTCAGCCACCATCTCAGACCTAGCACGAGCCCCCAGCCCCATGTGCTGGGCTCTGTCCTGGCAGCAAGGAGGGGCATTCACAGGTAACAGGGAGAGAAGTGCAAGGGCAGCAGTGGAGATGGGGGATTCCTGCTTTTTAATGCTAGCCTTTGACTCGTAAAGCATAATACGCATGCCCAGGCATTCGCTGGTGAGCTGTTCAGCACTGTCACCTTTGAGAGGACAAATATGAAGCTCAGTAGTACAACTTGTGACTGCTTTACAAGTAAATGAGGTTTCACAGTCAGTATGGTAAGGGTTCCTCTGTGGTAACTGGTACGTGAGCCCACAAGGAGAAACCTTAGCTGAAAGCAATCCTGCAAGAGACTCAATTTTTTTCCAGCAAAGACAACTAAGAGAGAAAAACACTTTGAAAAGAGAGGGAGACCATATTTTTCAATGTTCCCTTCTGTTTGGGTTGTTTTATTTGGGGTTTTCTGTTTTTTTCTTTTTTTTTCAAGTATTGACTCCTCCCCAGTCCACAAGCTGGTGGGACTTTGACGACTTTCACTTTGGTGCTTTCACGGATGACAAATAGTTGTCTCTCATTTTTTGACAAAAGTTTTGGGGTTTCTTTTTGCCCGAAAGGTGCCATCCCCAGCACACCCACAGACATGCCACAGCAGGATTGAACACTCATAACCTTTCCAAAACAAACTGCATTAGGCACATCAAATTTTAGGCTTAACATGCTATACCTGATCTCCCCCATCTTAAAAAGGACAACAGCTAGAGCTGATAAGGCTCCAGACACAGAGCTGGGGGTCTCTCTTGGGCACACAGTGGCTTTTGTTGTTCTGAAATGCTCTTTTGCATAAAGCCTGTCCTGGGCTTTTCCCACTGGACAAGCAGCGGTTATGTGGCATGGCAGAGCTAAGTCAACCTTATCTTTCGCTGGGTATCAGAGCCCTGCTGTACCGTGCAGCCAACCGGTTCTTCTCCCAAGCACCTGCTTGAATCCAAACAAAATCATTCATTGCCAGATGCCCGAGGTAGGTTTTGGAACACAGGCCTCACTTTTAAAAAGAACCGCTGAAGGGCTGATCACCAGAGATGGAAATCAGAAGTGCCATTGAGAAGCCAGGGTCAGTTCATTAGGGTTAACAGCCTCTGCTCTTCTCCCAAGGAGCCAAGCAGCCTTTAACTCAAGATCTTAGGGTCAGGATTGAGACTTGCACCCGTCATTATCAAGGATTTTAGATCTGTGTGAAAACAGCACCGTGCCACAGAGTGCCCTCGTGATGCTGCGCAGCAGCCACACTGCTAAAATCCAGTCAGTGCTAAGCTCAAGGGCACACACTTGAGGAAGGGGCACAGGAGGACAAACCCATTTACTTTTGAACGGCAGGACGTGTGTGCACTCACCTCCTCCCAGGATGAGAGTTGCTAGCTGCCACTGCAGGACGTATTTCAGGCACTTGCCGACTCCCTCGGGCGTCATGTTGAAAGAGCACATGGGATCTCCGGCAATGGTGTCTGCCCCCAGCTGCAGCACAACCGCGTCTGGGTTGAACGCGGCATACACCTCCTTCAGCACGCTGTGGAGAGGAGAAGCGGTGGGGATTACCGCAAACGCGGCTCATAGGGATGCTGGTGCATGGTCCTGGTCCCTCAGATCCACCAATGCCTCTCAATGTTTCTGCATTCTCTGCTCCCACCCCCTCGCACCAGCCATGCCCTCCCTGCTCCCAGTTAGCCTTCTGCCTCCACTACTGTCCTGCGGCAAGTTTAGCTCTCAAGCGCTCATCACAGGGCTGATGAAGGCAAAAGCATCACTTACAATATGAGGGAGAGGGATCTAGTCCTGACCAGGTTAGTGGCAGCAACAAACCACACGTTTACATTGGTCGCCCTGAGCGGAAGGGCTGCAACCCATATCCAGGGGCTCTTCTCCCCTGCAAAAGTCACAGTGAAGAGCAGGGTCTGGTGAAACAACAATCCTAAACTCTCAGACACCTCTCACCAGTACAGGATAGGATGAAGACAGGAAGGCTCTGTCCTGGTCCTCACTCTCTTCTCTCCCATACGGCTCTTGAGGCAGAAATACATTTCCTCCGGCTCAAGTGGGTGCTGAGGTGCACCAGGGCCAGTGCCCTGGAGATAGTTTATTAGAAGTATTCTCTCTTGCAGAAGGCAGTTGAGCATGTCAGACATTTGGCTTTGCTCTAGGAGATTTTTAGTTTTACCAGCACCACAAAGGGAATAATCCTGTTCCCAGCACTGTGCTCCAAAGCCCAAAATACAAGGCAAATAATGGAGAAACACATATTCGTTTCACAACAATGTTTTTATTTTGCTAAAGTAGAAACAGATGTGATCCCTGAAATAAACGCTCTTGCCTTGGTTAAGAGAACCTAAGCATCGCCAGTTCTTATTTGATATGCAATTACAAACCACTGTGGTGCCAAACGAGAGAGCTGCTCCCCCATGACAAAGACCTGGCATCTACCAGCACTCACCCCAAAAACTTAGCCCGTCACTGCACCCAGCCGAGGAACCACACTGAGCTCGGTGCGGTCTGCCAAGGCAGATGCCTGCAGGGCTGAGGCCATGAGCTCTACAAGCACCACAAATTCACTACTGATATGCAGGCACCACTGGGGAAAAAACTCGACTGGTGATGAGAAAAAACTCTGGGGAAAAAACACACCCCCACACCCTCACAATCCCCCCATCCCCCCTCATCCCTA